CCTTTTCTTTCTTATATAGTCCAATTGTTTTTCTTGAGGATTAATTAATTTAATCTTGTTGTTGTTAAAAGGTTTGAAGATAACCATACCAAGCAACTTTTGTGTTGTTACTATTACTCAACAAGAAAGAAAAAAGATACCATTGCCAGGTACGTTCTACTCTCCCCATGCATATATATAGAGAGAGAGAGGGGAAAACATTTGAGTATGTGTATTATTTTTTTTGTCAAGAGGAGGATAAAATTCTAGATGCGTCTAATTGGATGCAATTGAATATGGTATTTTTTTTTTTTTTTGGTACGTTCTACTCTCTCCATACATATAGAGAGAGAGGAAAGATTAGAGTATGTGTACTATTTTTTTTGTCAAGAGGATAAAATTCTAGAAGTGTCTAATTGGATGCAATTGAATATGGTTTTTTTTTTTTTTATTGGCCAAATAATTTTTAAAAAAAAATTTAGAGTGTATGGGGTATTCATGATGCCCTTGCATATTGTAGTTACGTCAAGCTTAAACAAAACTATCTATTTACATCCCACGCAGGGTAGAGCCAGAATATAATTTTAGAGGGGGCAAGGTGCTATTTAAATTGTATACACTAAAAATTAATTTTTTGATTAGTAAATAAAATTAATTAAGATTTAAATGTACAAAAATTAAAATTCTAAGAATCTTAAATGCAAAAAAAAACTAGGTAAAATTTTTGTATATTTAAATTTTAATTCAAAACATAACTTATATTACAAAATATTACTCTATGATCCAATTAGTAAAACAAAATGTTTTAAAAAATTAATAATACTAATTTTAAGTAAATTTTATTTTGTTGCTTGATTAAATTGATCATTAACCATATATATTTATATATATTATAATGACAAACATGTCAAATAAATAAACATATTTCATAAATCTATTTTACTTATCAAGTGGTTAGTGATTTATTATAAGACATATAAAAGAATAAAAATTAAAACACACCATTTTGCATTTTTTAAGAATGATTTATTTGAATTTTTTTTAAAAAGTATAGGACCTATTTAACTTTTTTCCAAAAGTCCAGGGCCCATCGGGCTCCGTCGCTGGTTCTACATGCTTTCTTTCTACCTTAAACGAAACGACTGTCCTTGCACAACATAAAGGAATGCACAATGTATTTGCTCTGATTTAGAAAATTTTGAAAGTAATGAAATGTTGAATTTCTTCCTTCATTTTAATCAATTATTTTATTTTATGTTAGGTCGACTATGGACATTGGCTTC